TTTTTTCTTTTTGTTGTTCCAACTGGGTGATTTCTGCTATTTTGTCTTCTAAATCACTAATCCGATCCTCTGCTTCATCTAATATACTGGTGATTCCTTTGAGTGTGTTCTTCATTTCAGTTATTGTATTCTTCAGTTCTAACTGGTTGTTTTTTTATGATTTCTCTATCCTTTGTGTCTTCACTAAGTTCCTTAAACATTCTTATCATCAGTGTTCTAAACTCTGTCTCTGAAAGGTTGGATACCTCTGTTTCATTTAGTTCCATTGCTTGAGGTTTCTTCTGATCTTTTACTTGGAACATGTTTCTTTGTTTCTTCATTCTGGCTGCTGCTGTGTGATTGCTTCGATGTATTAGGTAGATCACCTATGTCTCTGTCATTTCTGGTGGTCTTGTAGAATGTGTCCTTTATATTTGGATTGCATGTCTCCCTATTCTCCTGTCCCATATGTTCCAGAGGTGTTGCTGTTGAAGTTGATCTTTAATTGCTTTTGGCTTGTCAGAGTGTGGGATTAACCCTCAGAGTGATTAGCTGGGAGAATTAGCTTTGTTCACCATGTATGAGATTCTGTGTGGAGGTTGACCTTCTCAGAGGAGGCTTGGCCACTGTGGGCTCTTGTTCCTGTGGAAAATGTCCTTTGAGAGTGCCACCTGTACGTTCAACCAGTTAGCATCCTGGTTTTGTCGAACACTGGCCTCTGGGTGTATTGGTTCTGGTGTCTCTTGGGCGGGGCTCCCACTCAGAACCGTTTTAACCCTGTCTGTTACTGGCACGTAGCTACCTGGTAGGCAGTACGCAGTTCGCTGCTGCACATGCTGGATCTGGGGTCTTGTGGGGATGGTCTCTGTGTGAACTGTAGCTGGCTGTCCCCAGTATTGGTCCTGAGGCAGTTTAGGAAAAGGCCGAGGGCCCCCTAGGCCTGTTGCCACCTGTCAGATGCTGGTAAGGGCCAGCTATTGAAAGAGGCTCTTTAGGAGTGTGTGTCTGGCTATTTGACCCAGTGTTGAGAGTGCCCTCGGCGATGTGGCACTAGCCTGGCAGGATGGAGTTCAAGTGAGTTATGCGACGTGATTGGTGGTTTTTAAGATGTTAATGCAGATTCAGGTCTTATACCAATACCTGGCCTGTGACTCCCTTGTATAGCATCCCAAGGGCACTACAGCCCTAGCCTCCCTCTCACACTCACAGATTCATGAAAGCTGCTCCCGAGTGGCTGTGGTGCAGGTTTGTGGTCACTGAACACCACAAAAATGACCCCAGGGCTCTGCAGACCACGTTCTGTTGTCAAAAAGCCTTTTTCAGAGTTTGTCGGGGTGGGGCCCATCACCCCAGCACCCCGATTGCCTCTGGCAATGCAGCTGTAGGTGAGCAAGGTGGTGTTACAGGTGCATAAAGGCTGTGGTCAGTGGCTTCTACAAATTCAGTGTAGTCTCAGCTCCTGGACCAGTACTAGGTCCACATCCACTTCATAAAACAAATACAAAGCATGGCAACCCAACAACACCAAAAAACAAATACATCCCACAAAAACACGATAAGCAATGATCAGACAGGAGAAACAAAAATATATGAAAGAGACAAAAACAAACAAAAACAGGAGAACAAGACAGAAAAACAGTGACCAAAGCAATAACCAGATAAACAAGCCCGAGAAACAACAACTAAAAGAAAACAGATGAAAGCAAAGGAACAAAAAGATGAAAGGGAAAGAAAAGAAAAAAGAATTTAAAAAAGGAAAAAAATTGGAAAAAAATAAAAAAGGCTGTCTGCCTGCTTTAATCTGCAGACCACTTGCTCAGCAATAGTCTCTGGGCGATTCAGCACCAGCTGTGTTGGGGGAAAGGGCCCAACGTGTCGTGCGACGGCTTCCCTCTCAGGCTTGCAGTGTGCTTCCCACAATTAGCTATGTGCCGAGGGGCCGTGCTTACCACGAAAAATCCTCATAGGTTGCTGTGGGCTGTCCACTGCTGCAAAAACCCTCTGTGGCCTGCGGAGGTGGGGGCCAGGCACCAGGGGCTCAGGGTGCCCCCGGCAATGCAGCTCTAGGTGGGCAGGGCAGGCCCCCAGGGCACCATGGGGTGTGGTCAGTGCCCTTCACCAAGTCAGAGCAGCTTGTGCTCCTGCACCGGCAACCAGCCCGCACAAGCGCATCACGAATTCCCCGACCAGATCACGCTGGTGCACAGCTCCTGGCCCAACACTCCCAGGAAAACTCCCAGTCTCAGCCTGTTCCAATCAGTCTTTCACAGATCAGGCAGAGCAGCCTGACATCCAATCGTTATCAGGGCTATGCAGCACAAGTAGTGCGGAGAGCGGGGACCCAAGACCGCATGCGTGTGCATACACATGAACGCCTGCGCCAATTCCACCAGACTAATGTGGTCCCAGACCTGACCCTCTGTGGGAGGGCCCAACCCTGAAAAAATGGTGCCCTCCTGTACCCTACTTGTGTGCAAGCTCCACACAGAGGAAACAATGGTCCCAAAACCTCAAGCTCCTGCACCAAAGGCGCTTAGTTCAGTCCTCCCCTGCAGGCTCCTGGGCTCCCCCCTCAATCAGCCACTCCCTCCACCAGGGACTGGGTGAGTGCTCCCCAGTGAGCAAGTCCAAGTGCCGGCTCCACAGGAGGGCGACTGGTTCTCTAGCTGCCCTCCACCTCACCCAGTTGAGCAAAGAGAGTCCTCACTAATTTCTACTGCCAGCTATCATGGAACTCCTCTTCCCGGCAAAGTAACTCAGGGCTGGTGAGCTCGGTGTGGGGCTGGAGGGTCTCTACCCCGGAGAAGCCTCTCCAACGCTGAGGTGTCCCTCACGGGGTTTGCCCTTTCTCCATGGGCTTGGAGTCAGCCTGCCTCACGTCTCTGCCCCTCCTACCAGTCTCAATGTGGTCTCTTCTTTAAATCCTTCATTTAGAGGTTCTGCTCATCTAGTGTTCAGGAGACTTCTGAGATTGAATATTGTATAAATTATTTGTAATTTTGGTGTGATGCTGGGAGGCAATAGGCGCAGCGTCTGTCTATTCCGCCATCTTACCGAAAGTCTCCCAAATTATATTTTAGTTAAAAAAATTTCCAATGACAGCAAGAAACTTGGAAGGGAAATGGTTGGTGTTATTTATTCCAGCTTTAGACAGCCCAGATTCTGTTTTGTGCTATATTTTTGTAACGTGTAGTGAAGTGCTATATACCATGCTTTAATTATATTTGTGAATAACTAGCTTGAGGGTCTTTTAGAATAATTCATGAATTGTTTTCCACTTGAGGAAAATCAAATGATATTTGAGACTATAAGATTATTTGATATCTTTATAGTTGATGTGGGTAAATACAGAAAGCAAACAAATTATTATAACTAATATTCATAGGCACTATCAAAATTTTACCTGGGGACTATGTATAATGGGGAAAAGACAAAGAACAAATGGATTTTCCCTCTTATATTTATTGATTTCTAAGTATGTGCCAGATACTGTTCTAGGGGCTTTACATTTATTATTAACCCATTTAATTTCCATAACAAACTTCCAAGGTAGGCACTTTTATTATCTGTGTTCATAGATAAGGAATCTGAGGCATAGATAGTATAGATAATTTACCCAAGTTCACCCCTCTAATAAATGGCAAAGCTAGAATTCAAATCATGGTAGTCTGCTTTTAGTTTAAGTATAAATAGTGTTTTTTATTAAATACATTGGCTCTCAATATTTAGAAAAGACAAAGAATTGTGTTCTTCCAAAAGGACATAATGCTGCACACTTTCCCATCCAATCAGGCTGATCTAGACTTTCCTGATAAGACATTATATCTTTTGCAGAAATTTCTTGTCTAACAAAGGAGAATTTGCAAGAAATGTTTAAAAGCTCTCCTAGAGTTTTACTAACAATAAAAATATGAGGCCTAATGTTTTGACATTAGGACCTTAGGCCACATATTTGAGAACCAAAGAGAGATTATATGAATGACTTCAGCTAATGAAATATCTTGCTGATTCTTCACCTATGAGAGTAAGGAGACTTTTTTTAGATTGTTATTTTGATTGTTTTCCAAATTGTGTTGATGTAGACCAGGGTTTTTCAACCTGGCACTAAAGACATTTTAGGTTGAATAATTCTTTGTTGTGGGAGCTGTCCTGTACATCGTAGGAAGTTTAGCAGCATTCATGGCTTCTACCCTGTAGATATTAGTAGAATCCTCACCCCCTCAGTTGTGACAAATGAAAATGTCTCCAGATATTGTCAAATGTATCTTGGGGCGGGTTGCGGGGGAGGATAGCTCCCAGGCTGATAACCACTGGTGTAGAGCAGGATATATTTCTGGATGCTTTTCAAACTTGGGATGGTTTGCCTAGGGATTAGGAAATTGGTCTAAATAACTAGTCATATCCAACTGTGAGTTCCAAAGATTTAGGAAAACTTCAGACCTCCTGGAGTTTTTCTAAACCCATGTGAGACACTCATAATGACCTTGAGCTACTCTGCATTGATTTAAAAATAACAGTAAATTTTAAATAAATATTCCTTGCTATAGTTTGCATTTTTTCTTTAATAACTGGAATTTAGTAAACTATGCTTTTCATTAAGGCCTGGGAGGACCGTTTGATTCGAATACAAGAAACAATTGATGAATGGTTAAAAGTACAAGCGCAGTGGCTGTACTTGGAGCCCATTTTTTGTTCTGAAGATATCATGCAACAGATGCCAGAAGAAGGACGTCAGTTTCAGACAGTGGACAGACATTGGCGGGATATCATGAAGTTTTGTGCAAAAGATCCAAAGGTGAGGTGTTTGTTTTCTCTCTTACAAATAAAGGGTAGCCTTTATGTTTGTCTATTAAAAAAAGCATTTGGCTTTTTTTTCCTGATTACAAAAATAAAATCTAATTGTGTACAAACTAGAAAGTTCAGAAAAAATATAAGAAAGCATAAAGGATTAAAATAATTTTATCTATCAATTCATAAGATACACTAGTTGTAATTCTATGTAGTGGAACTGCTTCTGAGATACATTTAACTCACTATGATATACACTCATTCTATGATATACATATATATGTATATAGAATATACATTCTATGATATACACTCACTGCTCCCCTCCTCTTGTAAAATAAAAAGTAAAATAAAATAAAATGGAGAGAGCAAGAGAGAGAGAAAGAGTAGTATAGGTGATTCACCTGACAGTCTACTCAATGACTATATGCTTGGGAGTGAAGGTAGAAAAGAATCTGCAGTTCTCACAGTTGGTCTCACTTGCTTTGTGTATCTATCTCCTCATGAATACGAATATAGCACCATGTTGAGTATGAGTCTATGTTGAAAGTAAAACTATGTATTTTTGATACACATAGTATGCAAAGTCCATAGATATACATCTACTTTTTTATTGGTATTCAACTTCAGAAATAATTTGCTTCAGTGCTAGGTGAAAAAATAGCTGTGCTGGACTTATTGAAAGCCAATAGTACACTGATATTTATGAGTTGTAAAGATTTTGCCTATATGTTGACTACAAAACCTTTGTGAGAAATAACTTCTTACAGATCAGGAGTTGGCAAATTTTTTCTGCAAAGGGCCAGAAAGTAAATATTTTAGGCTTTGTAAGATGTAGTTTGTTGTTGTTGTTGTTGTTGTTGTGTTTGATTTTGGCAACTGATCAACTCTGCTGTCATTGTAGCAAAAAAGCAGCCACATAACACATAACTGAATAGATGTGTCTGAGCTACAATAAAGCTGTTTATGGACACTGACTTTTTCATGTACCATGAAATATTATTCTAATTTTTTCAAACTTTTAAAAGTGTAAAAATAATTCTTTGCTTGTGGGTTATACAAAAACTGGCATCAAAATGCATATATCAAAACATCAAGTTGTACACTGTAAATATATACGATTTTTATTTGTCGGTTGTACCTCATAAAACTGAAAAACCGAACTGGTAGCAGGCTGGATTGAGGCCATGGGATGTAGTTTCCCAACTCACACATGTAGATTAAGTTTACAGTTGACAATTGTAAATGTAAAAATTATATCACACACCAACCTAACAGACTCTTCCCATAATCATTCAAAAGAATGAAAATATGCAAGACAGTCATAACTTCTCATTTGTAACTAATATCTTTGGATAAGGAGAGTTATGATTTATTGAATTTTAGCAGTTTTACATTACAAGGAAATTTCTCAACTTTCATAAACCTTTTGACATTTAAACATTTTTGATATATAATATAGATTAATGTTTAGATATTATCATTATATCTGGTATGTAAGTGATAAACTGAACGAATGTGTCTCTTTTAGGTCCTTGCTGCTACTTCTTTAACAGGTTTATTGGAAAAACTACAGAACTGCAATGAACTTTTGGAGAAAATTATGAAAGGGCTTAATGCATATCTTGAAAAAAAACGACTTTTCTTCCCTCGGTATAATGGATATTCAATTGTGCTACAATTAAAAGCATTTTCTGATGTGTGATGAATTATAACTAAAGCTTTTGTATTTGCATGTTTTCTCCTAGTTTTTTCTTCTTATCTAATGATGAAATGTTAGAGATTTTATCAGAGACCAAAGATCCACTTAGAGTTCAGCCTCATTTAAAAAAATGCTTTGAGGGCATTGCTAAATTGGAGTTTCTTCCCAATTTGGACATTAAGGCCATGTATAGCTCTGAAGGTGAGCGAGTGGAGCTGATTGCACTTATTTCCACATCTGCAGCACGAGGTGCTGTAGAAAAGTGGCTCATTCAAGTAGAAGATTTAATGCTCCGGAGTATTCGTGATGTGATTGCTGCATCCAGGCTGGTGTGTATCCTAGAATTTAATGTGTATCTTATATTCAATAAATGTTTTATTTTTGGAGGTTTTAAATGGGTATCAGTAAATTAACACTTAAAGTTCTACTATTTTAAACCATTTGTTATTTTCTCTTTTTAAAAAACATATTATTAAAATAATATTAGTAAGAATTGATGATAATATGTGATTAAGTGATACAAAAGAAAAAAGGTGTTATGAGGAAGAATAATAAAGTGCATAGAATTTAGGAGAGTGGTTCTAGTGATAGGCTCTTAGAGGAAGTGAAATTGAAACTGAGACCCAAAGAATAAGTATGAATTACCAGGTAAAGAGCAAATGGCAGAGCATTTTGGAATCCTGTGTGAAAGAGCCTCGAACGTGGGTGTTAGATGCATATCTAGTTTACTTAGTGCTGTTTATACTTAATTAAGAACTTGAAATGAAATGAACAAACATTAAAGGAGGATATATATTTGAAAGAAATATAACACCTAGGAACTACATGTACCTTGCTTATACTAATCCAATTAACCTAATCTTGAATGATAAACTTCAGTATATTTCTACTTTTGGGACCACAATGGAACAGTTTATTGTTTTAAAAAATCATTTTTAAAGGCATTACAGCCTTATATCCAGCAACTCACTTTATATGAGTGATCCTTTTTCTTTCACTAACAGCACTATGAAATTCATCTTCTTGTAGTGGCCATTCTGTTCAGCTTCAATGTTCCTATAGATAAATCTTGACTTTTTCTCTCTTTTTTCTACTTATGACACTAAATAAACTAAAACACATAAGAAAGAATAAAAAAAAGTATGTCCTTAATAAGTATAGAAATTTACCTTCTATATACTTAGCAGTGGCTCATCCATTCTTTGAAATTCATCTTTCTTTGAAGCTTAGGTCAGTTTGTCATTTGCTTTTATTTCTAAATATTGCTAATTAAAAGGCATTTTGATAACAATATATTTATAGCCATATGTTTATATTGAAAACATATCAAAGATGGTATATTAAAAATAGCATTCTACTAAAAATATAGTTTTTATTAGCATCAACTTCAAACTTTGTTCTGTAGTTGTTTTTTTAATTTATAATTTGGATCTGCTATTATCATTTACTTTTGAAGTAAGTTATTTTTTAACTCCCCATCCCTTTAAATGCACTTTGAACATAAAAATGTTAGAGACATGAAAGTATACTTTGAACTCAAAATCACAGATTGTTCAATTATAGTTGAACAAATATATAATTATTCAAATTATATACTCTGGTTATACAAATTTTTAGTGTAGCTATGGATTAATAATACAAGGGTTCTAACTACTAGTCTAGTTTTTTACCAAATTGTATAGTCTCCTTTTCAATTAAATCTTGGCATGAATATATATAATCTATCACACTGATTTACGTTTTTTTTTTCTTTTTTTTTGTGGAGGGCAGTGTCACTGGCCCTCACATGTGGGATCCGAACTGGGGCCCTCTGGAATCCCAAGCCAGTTCTTAACCATCGCGCCACTCGGCCGGCCCTGATTTACTTTTTTACTTTTTAATAAAATCTTTACATTTTATTATAATAGAAGTAATGGGTAGTCTATGTAGAAAACTTGACAACTCCCCACAGCAAAAGAACATAAAATTCACATAAATGTTTCAAAAATATAATAATGTATAAAAAAATTTTTCAGGTCCTTTAAATAGTTATCTAAAAATGTTCATGACTATGTGATATTCTAGCCTACAAATATACCAAATACTGCACTTCCCTATTGTTAGACATTTAGTTTTTTTTCTTCCTTTCGTAATCTTTTGAAATTAGAAATGCTTTTTAATTATTCAGGCTTATCCAGAATCTGCAAGAAGAAACTGGGTTCGAGAGTGGCCTGGCCAAGTTGTACTTTGTGTTTCTCAAATGTTCTGGACTTCTGAGACACAGGAAGTTATAAGTGGTGGGACAGAGGTAAAGCATTATTTGATTTTAAATAACATTGTTTTTTACATATTATGTTTCTTAGTTAGCTTATCTATTCTTCGCAAAGCCAATCCTTCCCCGAATTTCTACATGTAACATTAAAATTATACAATTTTTTTGAAAACTTATTATTAATATATTAGGCCTCGACAAAATCACTCTATAATTCATTTCTATATAGAGATATAGAAATCAGAATATAGAAGTCAGAATTGCTTTAATTAAGAGTAAATATATAAAATATATATTTTAGGTATTATATATAGCATTAGTTTAATTGCTTTTTATTTTATAGGCATTAAAGAAGTACTATAAGGAACTTCAGAGTCAGCTAAATGATATTGTAGAGCTGGTAAGAGGAAAACTGTCGAAGCAGACCAGGACTACTCTGGGGGCTCTGGTTACTATTGATGTCCATGCTAGAGATGTGGTTATGGACATGATTGACATGGGTATGTGACTTTTTCTTTAATATTAAAGATAAAATATAAATAGCTTCTAGAAACAAAGACTTATACTATATGTCTTTTTGTCTTTTTCTCTCTCAACGGAATTTATTTCATATGATCTTTTCTACAAATTGGAAAACATGAATTATTTTAACATTTGCTATTTTAAAAGATGATAAAAATAACTAGTCTAAATTATTTCCATTATGTGTCTTATTTTACTTTATTCTTTTTTAGGTGTCTCACAAGATACAGATTTCCAGTGGCTTGCCCAGCTTCGATATTATTGGGAATATGAGAATGCTCGAGTTCGTATCATTAATTGCAATGTAAAATATGCATATGAATATCTTGGTAACTCACCTCGACTTGTCATTACTCCCCTAACTGACAGGTGTTACAGAACATTGGTATGCATTTAAATTATTTTTATTCACACATTAGAGATTACTTTTTGGTTTGGTGTCATATTTTCTTATCCAAATCTAACATGGCTACCCTCATTTTATTCTTTTATCTGTAATTATTGAACACAGCTATCCCTTCCTAATCCCAAATTCCCTTTATGTAAAATTATAGTAATGAATGATTCTGGGTGCTTTTGTAGAATACAAGAGTGTTTGAATTGCAGTGTTTGAAAATCATTGGGGATAATTGCAAAAAGGAAGATATCAGAGATTTAAAGAGAAAACTGGTGCTTCAGAAAATGATATTAATTTTGTAGTGGAGTTCTGGGAGAGAGAACAGGAAGATGAGGAAAGTACATTTGGGCCTTAGAACTCCAAGGTAGTTCTGTTGAATAGGAAGGAGAGAGCTGAGATGTAGGAGGGTGGTACTAAGGTCTATGCTTTTTAGGAAGTTATGATAGATAGAGCTGTCACTATTAATAACAAACAAAACAACAACAACAACAAAATCCCTGGAAATATGGTTGCCAGATAAAATACAGGACTTCCAGGTAATTTTAATTTCAAATAAGCAACAAGTAATATTTTAGTATAAATATGTCCCAAATATTGCATGGGACATACTTAAACTTGCAAATTTTTCATCGTTTATCAGAAATTCAGATTTAATGGGGCATCCTATATTTTTATTTGGTAAATTTGGCACTTATATCTGGAAACTGAGGAAGAGCATCAAGAAACCACCTGCACTGAGTAAGTAAAATTAAAGTGTCTTTAATTGAGTTTTTTAGAAGCGGAGATGAAATGGGGATTCTTGGACAAATGATTTACTAGGGAATGCTCTCAGAAAAAAAAAAAAGCCTATGAGAAAGTGAGGAAAGCAGGGGGAAAAGCTAAGAAAAGATGAAGTTTCAGCAGATGGATAGCCTTAGCCTAACCTCACGGGGAGCCTTGGATGGCATCACAAAGGTATCCCACTTTTCTGCAAAGGGGTCTGGCTTTTATATTCTTTTATTGTCACTGACTCTGAGTCACCCTTGGGATTAGGGGTGTAAGAAAGCTTTCACATATTTGTCAAAGAGGTAGATCCTATTGAGGGCAATTCTCAGGATAAAAGAACAGTTGTGAGCTATTTGTAGCTGACACAGCCGTTGGGGAATGGATGCAGTGGCCAGCAAAGGGAATCTGGGTAGGGTGCTAATGCGGCTACAGTAACATGTTTCGCCAAACCCTCTAATTTCTCAGGAAGCTACGTGAGGTCAGGGACCATGTCTATCTGGTTTTCTACTCCAGCCATGAACAAGTGTATAATTACTCCTTAAATATTTGTTCAGTAAATGAATCTCAAGCTTCTGTGTCCTACCTGGGACCTCAGTGAAATCAGAAGCTGTGAATACTTGTAAGGTGGAAGTTAAACAATTTTGTTGTAAAATCAGAATCACATTAAACATTGTATACAACACTAGATTGAAAAAAAATCGAATGTATTTATTAATCACAATAAAAGGGACACGTTTTAAGCATTTTCTTGAAATTGTAAAGGAGGGAGAGACTGAGGTTTCCAGCAATCAAATTAATGGACCTTAACTGTATAGCATTTGTCATAAATTTAAGATAGATAAAATATCATTGATATTGCCTTTAATGGACTATCTCTTTCATTTTAGTAAATGTAAAAAATATTTGTGATTTTTCAAAAGTTTATTTATTTTAAAAATAGACTTTATTTTTTTTAGAGCAGTTTTAGGTTCATAGCGAAATTTAGCAGAAAGTACAAGAGCTCCCATATACCCCCGGCCTCCCATGTGTACAACCTTGTGTCCCTACACCCTATTTTTTCTAAAAGGAGTTAAGTTACACAAACTCTTATAGTGGTTTTCATGAAACAAACTCCATAGTTAGAGTTGACTGTAATTTATATGCTTCTAAAAATTTCCAGCTACTGTTCTAGACATCATGGGGACCGAGAAAGAATTTAGATACTGCTGATGTTGTTCTAAAGAAGCTTAAAGACTAATTGAGAAAGGAAGAGAGAAAATGTACATAATTAACTGTAATGCAAGGTAGAAAGAGATACAACTGGTAAGAGAAGTATAGAACAGTGTTAAGCGAATGGAGAAAAATACCAACAGTAGAATCAATAGCCAGGGTAAATTCATAGATACATTTGTATTATTGGTCATTTGTTTCTCTTCCAGCTGCTGGGCCCCCATTTATAACCCTGTCTTTCAGGTGTTTACTTTCTTTGCAGCTAACCATGAGATTGTCATTATTGAACTCTATAATCATTTCCACAACCACTTCTAATTAAACCTTTCTGACCAAATGTTAATATCTCAAGGCTAGATTCTCTTTGTTTTTGAAGGCAAATGGGATACATATAAACATTAAAAGATAAGGAGATTTTGATAAATTTTCACTTTTTTTGGACTGTAAACTGCTTTTTCTTTATGCAGCTATAAAATTGCTAATAATTAACTGAACAATATAATTGTATTACTGCCTCTCTAAAGCTACAAATAAAACTAAATCCATTTTGTAAGCAATTGTCTATTATAAGTTTTTTTTTCAGTTAAACATGGATTTCTTTTCACATATATTTTTCTTTTCAGATAGGTGCCTTCTATTTAAACCTTGGAGGTGCTCCAGAGGGGCCAGCAGGCACAGGAAAAACTGAAACCACCAAGGACTTGGCTAAAGCTCTTGCTGTACAGTGTGTGGTGTTTAACTGTTCAGATGGGCTAGATTATCTAGCAATGGGAAAGGTAAAATTATATATTAAATATTACATGTTATACCTAGGTCCAACTGGATAAACTGAAGCAAACTAATGATTAAACATTATTTGAATGTGGTTTAAGCATTTCTTGAACCTTGGCTTTAGGGGTAAAGAAATTGTTTTTATCCTTGGGGCTTTAATTAAGCTTAACTTTTAATTTTGACTTAAAATGTTAAATATTTGTTTTAACAAGTGATGCCTTTTTCTAAGAAAAATCATCTCCTTTTTCCTTGTCCTTAGTTTTTTAAAGGATTGGCTTCTTCTGGTGCTTGGGCTTGCTTTGATGAATTTAATCGAATTGAGTTGGAAGTGTTGTCGGTGGTAGCTCAACAGATCCTTTGCATTCAGAGAGCCATTCAGCAGAAACTGGAAGTATTTATTTTTGAAGGGACAGAACTGAAACTCAATCCAAACTGTTTTGTAGCTATTACTATGAATCCTGGTTATGCAGGACGTTCTGAATTGCCCGACAATCTTAAGGTAATATATTTTTTTAAGAGTGTAAATTTGCTAATCAAAAGTAACAGCAAAATCCACTCAAAATGGTATAATTTTCTCACATGTATTTGTAATCTCCCCTTTACCTTTTTCATTTTCTATAAGGTAAACCTTTAAAAAGTTTTTTAGACATTTAAAAAATGTTAAAGTACATAAAATTATTGAAGTGCTGCTGAAAACGTTAGAGTTGATGCAAAGGTGCTGGCTGCCATGGGGGAATAAATTTGAATATCAACACATTATCTTTGGGTGCTTATGCTCAGCTTTAAAAATGGTTCCCTTTATGTAAATAATATGATTCATTTATTATATACTTCAGGTTCTTTTTAGAACAGTGGCTATGATGGTTCCAAACTATGCCCTCATAGCAGAAATCTCCCTCTACTCCTATGGATTTCTGAATGCAAAACCTCTGTCTGTGAAGATAGTAATGACCTATAGGCTTTGCTCAGAGCAGCTCTCATCGCAATTTCATTATGACTATGGAATGCGAGCAGTAAAAGCAGTTTTAGTGGCTGCTGGAAACCTAAAACTAAAATTTCCAAATGAAAATGAAGATATACTTGTAAGTATTAACTGCATACATTGTGAAAGCTTCAGTAGAAAGATAATTTTTTTAGCAAGGTTGATTAGGAACTATAAATAGGTGAATAAGAGAGTTGTTGCTTTGAAGTCTTTTTATATGGGGTTGAAATCATAGTTTGGGGGTTATGTTATTCATTATGCTTTATGTGAATATTAGGACCTTTTGGCTTGATGAGCATAGTGTTGACTTTTTAGTATCCATGGGACAAAGTAAAAGCAACTTTGACTTTTGGCATGGGAGTGGAAGAGGGTAAATACTGGCCATTAACTTATATTGCATTTTTTGGATGATTTTAGCTTCTTCGATCAATTAAAGATGTAAATGAACCAAAGTTTTTATCACATGATATACCCTTATTTAATGGAATAACTAGTGACTTATTTCCTGGTATTAAACTTCCTGAAGCTGACTATCATGTAAGTAAACCTGTGAGAATGACTTATTCTGCAAATAAATTTATCTGATGACTCAATAGTTTACAAAGTTTTATTAAATGAGTGAAATTATTCTGTTTGGAGGATACACCTCTATTTTGGCCACCTTACTTAATGAAAATGAGTACATTTTAGTACCTTCTGTTATATGATACCAGAGTTAACAAGATTCAAGTCAGAGATAATGTTGTAAGAGAATAAATACAATATTTTATTTCCTATCTTGTGACTTATAATACTTACCACTATGTATACTATAGTACTATTGTGTACTTCAGCAGGTAGGAAAGATGGTAAACTAAATGTGGTAAAATATAGTTAACGCAAGAAATTGTTTCTCAAATTTTAAAGGAAACAAACCATGTGCATTTACAATTTCATTTAAATTACAGACATTATAATGAGTCCTACATATGTATACATGCAAGACTAAGTGCCTGCTGTTTATAGCTGTTATATAATGTAAAATCAAAATAAAACTTAAACTTAATTACAAACAAAGCAGCCTTAATTTAATGAGATAGATGATGTGTGGCCCAAACTAAATTGTTACATTATGGCAATTTCTATGGTAAAATGTACAGTGAAGATTCTTTTGAATTCAGCATGCATAAACTTACCAGACCCAACCAGGTCCAATTACTCAGTAGTTGCCAAACAAAAGACAGCTTCAAGATGATTTTATGAGACGAACCCAGCAAGCAAGAACACACTGGGAGTCATTTCCTAAAGCGGTGTGTGTCCCTGAACAAAGGATTGGATTCTTCTTTTTTTCAGGGATATCATGCATAAACATCAAAGTGAACTTTCTCGTAGCATGGATAGGTGGGGACATTCCTGCACATGCGCAGTTATAAAACATACTTATACATGCATTGCATGTTAAAAATGGCAGAAAGTCCCTGTCCCTGGGAGGAGATTTTAGTATTATAATGAGGGTATAATGAGAAAAGTTCATGAGCAGGCTATTAGAGGATCCTCCAAGTTGCTTTGGCTGGCGTTGGGCAGTTTCAGCCTGATTAGCCCCTTGGTCCTGCAAAACATCCAGGGCTGATCCTGAAAAACAGCTCTAGCATTCATCAATGCTAGGGATTACATAGATATCGAAGTGTTACAGGAAAAGAGGGTTCTTGGCTTCACATAGGAAAGAATTCAAACATGAGTTGGTATAGAGTTTAAAGTGAAAGTAAGTTTATTTAGCAGAGAGTAAGAAAACAAAGGCCACCCCATAGGCAGAGTGGTGGTCTCTAATCGATAGTGGCCTAGAGACCCCTCCGTCCTCCAGGCTGGGGTTTATATGTATTTTATGTTTCCGTGGAATATTTATGGTATGGGGGGAAGGGAGGAAAGAAGAACAATGGTAAGTTTATCTTTAACTTTGTAAGATGTAAGAATAGGGGCAGGTTTGTTTTTTAACTCTTACAAAGCACAACCTATATTTTATGTGCTGTGGGCTTAACTATAGGAATAGTCATAATAGAATCTCCAGTCTTTGGATAGTTTGCTCTGTGTAATTGTTCAATGTGTGCCTGAGTTCTTTATTTTGGAGCACGATGTGATTGAAAAAGACTCATTATGAATAACAAAAGATACTCATATCACTCAAGAATTCCAAGGGTTTGAGGAACTCTGTTTCAGAAAGAGAGGTCAATGACCAAATATATTTTTGTATTATACCACATGTGACTATCAAGATGATTCAGAATATGCTAATATGATTTTTTAAAATAAAAGTACAAAATCTTAACATTCTCTTGGAGAACTCTTATACTCCCATGAATTTAGGAATAGATTCATGGATCCAAAGGCTCCAATTTGAAAAATACTACTAGGAGTCAGTGCTGGGAGGTATGCTACCAGAACAGCTCAGTGCGCCTGCAGCTGAGCCTAGAGGAGCTGGGGCTGTAGAAAAAAACTAGCTATACCATCTTGCTTTTTAATATGTACTATATATTCCTTTGTTTTGCCTTTACTAACTTCTTTTGGGTTTCAGGTAATGTTTATTACTCCATTAATCTTTTCTGTTGGCTTTTTAGTTTTACCTCAGTAGTCACTTCAGAGATTACAGTATAGTATACACTCTTGACTTATTAAAATTTACCTTAAGTTTGTATTCTACCATTTTAGAAACAATATAAGAACTTTAAATGGGATAATTCCATTATCCACTCACCCCTGCCCATTTTATTATTTTTGTCATATACTTTACTTCTACATATGTTATAAACTCCACAATACATTATTTTTTGCTTTAGGTATTAACATTTTTTAAAAAACAGTCTTTTATATTTACCCTTTCTAGCATTTTTTAATTTCCTCCAGCAGATATGTGCTTTCATCTGGGGTCTTTTCCCTTCAATGTAAAGAACTTCCTTCACTATTTCTTATGTGCGTGGGTCTTCTGGAAACAAATTCTCTCAGTTTTTGTTTGTTTGAAAATTCTTTATTTAGCCTTCAATTTTGAAGAATATTGTTGCTAGATATAGAAATCGAGTTTGGCAGGGGCCTGCCCACATAACCCCCTTGTTCCTACCCCCCCCCCATCATTTTAAGGATGTCATTCCATTAACTCTTGGCTTTTATTGTTGTGCTTAGAAGTCAAGAATTTTTCTTATTTATGCTTCCCTGAGTATAATGTTTTTTTCTCCTTTGGCTGTTTTTAATATTTCCTCTCCTTGATTGATTATGTGCCTAGTGTTGTTTGTTTTATACTTATCCTGCTTGGGATTTGCTGCATTTCTTGAATCTGTGGATTGATGTCTTCAGAAAATTCTCAGTAATTATCTTTTCTTCTGCCCTATTTTCTCTTCCATTCTCTTGGGGCTCCAATAACATGTATGATGGACCATTTAATATTGTCTCACATGTCTCCTACTCTTTGTTTTGCTTTTTAAAAATTATTTTTATTATTGGGCCGGCCGAGTGGCGCGATGGTTAAGAACTCGCTTGGGATGCCAGAGGGCCCGGGCTCGGATCCCACATATGAGGGCCAGTGACACTGCCCTCTACAGCTAAGATGCTGAACAACAGCTCAACCTGGAGCTGGGCTGCCGTGAGTCGCTGGCGACGGCGTAGGCTGCAGTCCCTGTAGCAGTGGGTTGCCATGGGCTACCGTGTGTAGCCAGCAGCCAGCGTGAGCGGCCAGCAGCCAGCGTGAGCGGCCAGCAGCCAGCGTGAGCGGCCAGCAGCCGCAGTGAGCGGCCGTCCAGAAGCCGGCGACTGATCTGCCTCGCCAGGGAAGAGCGCAATGATGGTGCCAACTTGGGCCAGTGAAGCAGTGTCCTCCACAACTAGATTGAAGAACAAAACGACAGCAACTTGTCTGTTCCCCTTCCCCTAATTCCCCAGTACTGTTCCCATCCCCCAATTACCCAATAAAAATCTTTAAAAAAAATAAAAACATTATTTTTATTATTATGCTTTAATTTGGATACTTTTAATTGACCTGTCTTTAAGATTAATGATCCTTTCTTTAGCTTTATCAAGCTTCTGATAAGCCTATCCAATGAATTCTAATTTCATATATAGTAATGTACTGTTTAACGATGAGGATACATTCTGGGAAATGTATCAGTAGGTAATTTCATCATTGTGTGAACATCATAAAGTGTACTTACACAAACCTAGATGGTATAGCCTACTACTCACCTAGGCCATATGGTATAGATTATTGCTCCTAGGCTACAAATCTGTACAGCATATTACTGTACTGTATACTGTAGGAAATTGTACCACAAGGGTAAGTATTTGTGTATCTAAACACAGAAAAGTTACAGTAAAAATACAGTATAAAAGATTTAAAAAATGGTACACCTATATAGGGCACTTACCATGAAGGAGCTTGCAGGACAGGAAGTTGCTCTGGGTGAGTTAGTGAATGACTGATGAGTGAATGTGAATGACTAGGACATTACTGTACACCATGATAGACTTTATAAATGCTGTACAATTAGGTTACACTAAATTTATAAAACAACCTGAGACTAAATAATCACAAGAGAAAATGATGCAATCAAGAGACATAGTAAGCATGAGATGTGTGAGGCTGCTGCTGGCATAACAGAGCATACTATTTTACAGTAAACTTTATTTTAAATAAAATAAAATTTGTTAATAAAAAAAGTATAGTAGAGTAAATATATAAACCAGTAACAGTCATTTATTATCATTATCAAGTATTATGTACTGTATATAATTGTATGTGCTATACTTGCATATGACTGGCAGCACATTAGGTTTGTTTACTTCAGTATCACCACAAGCACATGAGTAATGTGTTGTGCTATGATGTTACGATGTCACTAGATGATAGAAAATTTTCAGCTCCATTATAAACTAATGGGACCACTGTCATATAGGGGTCTGTCATTGACTGAAACATGTGGCACATGATGGTAGTTTTTTTTTTTTAGTTTTATTTAATGTGTTCAATTTGATTTCATTAAGAGATCCCATTTCTTTGTTTAAATTCTTTATCTTTTTTTAAAAGATTTTTTTATTGGGGAACTGGGGGATGGGAACAGTGCTAGGGTATTGGGAGAAGGGGAACAGACAAGTTGGTGTTGTTTTGTTCTTCAGTCTAGTTGTGGAGGATGTTGCTTCACTGGCCCAAGTTGGCACCATCATTGCACTCTTCCCGGGTGAGGCAGATCAGTCACTGGCTTCTGGATGACCGCTCACTGTGGCTGCTGGCCGCTCACGCTGGCTGCTGGCTATACATGGTAGCTCATGGCAACTCACTGCAGCAGGGACTGCAGCCT